TTGCTTCCTTAGCAAACTTTAAACACACTGAGTATGCTACACGTTATGTACCTTATGTTATTTAAAACTTGTCTGTCTGGCTTCACAATTGTTAAGTGTGTTTGATGAAGCTTATACTTAATTTTACCTACAACAATGTGCAAAATGAACCACATATGTAAGCCATCGTAAGCCAATGGGCTGTAAGGAACCGAAGGTGGTGCACTAAAATAGAGAGTAAAGTTCCACACGGTAGCTTCCCTGTGGCGTCACAGAAGCTTCACACTTCATTACTGCAAATCCATCGACGTGTGAAACTATCATGTGGGAGCAACGGGAAGGGAAATGCGCGCTTATGCACGTGTGTGTGTGTGTAAGGGGTAATAAGTAGGAGTTGTAGGGTAACAAATAACCACCCTTCCACAAAATGCTTTCTAGAAGCAGGATCAAACCATTCACTTGTGTTTTAACTATATTCAAACAGCTGGAAGGTGTTGTTGGTTCTCTCAGTGTTAGATGACAGGAGAGGAAGAAACATCATGCAGGGCATTTTCTTCTTCAGCAAGTCGGCAAACAACTATATTTTAACAAACCGACTCTGATGCAAATGCACATTGGGATTTTAAAATGAAAAACATATTAAGTGAGGTTCAAATGCCTGTCGTGCAGCTAAATTCATCTTCATCCATCGTCTTCAGCATAAACAAAGAAATAAACAAATCTGTCTTCTACTTCCACCCAGTGGCCAAAAACAGAATGTCACACATGCCGATCATCACTAAAGTCTGCATTTCGTGTGACTCAATTTACATATATACTGAATCAAATACTACAAAAGATAGTAGTAAATACTTCAATAGTAAATACTTAGTAAATATTCATCATGCAACATCTGTTTTGCAGTAATGAAAATTGCTTCCGTCAATTATTTCTCCTATAGCCTCATTGCTACTGAGGCAATCGTCTCCACAGAGGTTTATAATCACACAAATTAATCTTCAAAGATGACTTGTCCCAATTTAGAAGGCGGAAACAAATAGTTCTTTAGTATTTTTGGTATGTTTTGATCACGACTGTCTTCTGCCAAGAGGTGTTTGATTGCCAGTTGCCCACCGAGTTTACAAAGAATAGCTCATTTGGAAATCAGCATTTCAATTAGACTAATACTGGCACGCCTCCTGCTCAAAGCGTGATTGAGTGCATAAGTACTTGTATAAACTGCGGAACAATCAAACATTAATTTTCAATCAAAAACTTTGGTATTCGTGGCAGTATCCCAGGGCACTTAAGCGACTGCCAATGCTGGGCATTTATCACCGATTCCATTTTTGGCTGCTAAATCAATTTAACAAGCAGCATGATAAAGTTATCACAGAAAATGTTATTCAGATGGACAGTTGACAAGACCTGTGTTCATAGACTACGAGTTGTAATTTAGCTTTATAGGTGCACGCCTATAATCTGTGTGCATGATTTACTCTGCAGGGGGCAAAGTGTAGGGACCCTTCGTGTGGTGGTTTGGTAAGGTAATGACAGAAATTAGGAAAGACTAGAAATTACAGTCTATAAGATACTTGTATGAGGAATGGATCCAGAGTTTCTCTCATTAAACGACGACAGCTTTCGTCTCAGTTTAACTACAACCTTGTTACTGAAAACAGAAGAAATTGCAAAAGAATACAAAAAATGCTAATAGTGTCACGCTGTGAATAAATATTACAGCTTAAATTAATGTTGAGACAAAAGTTATAAGTAAAAAAAGACACATTTCTATGACTGCATAAACGTTTTCTTTATGTTTCAGAAATGCTACAATTAAAGAAACTTTCTCAGCATTTCTTTCAAAGCAACATCGAGAGATAAATTTGATTTCATGAGTGAGTTCATATAGTCAGTCAATCAGCTGCTACATTTGTGTATTAGCTTGTTACAAAATAAAAACGATTCATTACCTTGGTCGCGCTTTTTCTGTCCTTTGTATTGAAATGCTGAATTGTCAAACACCTTTAAAACTTTTTCTTTTTCACAGGCAATGACAACGGACAGCCGAGCTGCATCGTAGGACCCAAAGGGGCCAAGATGGCTGCGCCCTTGACAGACGCCGGGGAGTTTGAAAGCTGGCTAAATGATCGACTGGACTCGTTAGAAGTGGATCGTGAGGTGTATGGAGCGTACATTTTAGGGATTCTACAAGAGGAGGAGACCGACGAGGAGAAAGAAGATGCGCTTCAAGGAATTTTATCTGCATTTCTGGTGAATATTCGAAGCGCATGTTCGGTTCTCCCAACAAGGCTGTGCTTTCTCGTCTGTTGCTGTCCATCTTGTCGGTCTCCTGGTAGCTTACCAAGTGACAGTGCTGATGTCAGCCTCTATATGTGGCACTAACTATCGACCGTAGATGCTATTAAGTTTCTTTAGCTAAGGTCCAGCAGTAATATAGGTCAAATTGTTTCGCCAAACCCCATTAAGAAATCGCCAGGTTTTAGATGAATGTGGTCTTAAGCCGCAATGATGCGCACCACGTAACAAATAAAGGCTATTCTACATTTTCCGAGACGTTTTTACGTTTGCGGCTCAGAAAAAATACAGTAAATCACCTAGTGCAGGTTATATATTGATAAAATAACGTATCTAAACTTCTTGTTTTATCACTGCTCCTGAAAAAAATGTTTTATGTAGTGAGGTCAGAATTTGAGTTGTAACTTCTGTGTGACTTGCTTGAATTCGTTGTCATTTGTGTACAGGAGGAGAACACAGTGGAAGATGTCTGTAAACAGATCATAAAGCAGTGGGAAGAGTGTTGCAGCAAATCTGCAGCCAAAAAGGATGCTGATGATGGTATTGTATGACTCTGATTCATTCCCGATACAATATTTATTGTCCTTGACTCAGAGTTACTCAGTTGGGAGTAAGGGGAAAGCAGGACAGGACAAAAGCCAAAGCATGGGAGCGAGTCAGTGTTTAATAATTACTAATGATTAAAATGCAATAGTGGTGTGTAAGCACACAGGGTGAAAAGAGGTGAGTTAAGAAACACTCAGTACATCATAAGAAACCCCCCAGCAAGCCAAGCTTAATGAAGCCTAACTAAGGGATGGTTCAGGGTCACCTTAAATATAACCTTTTCAACATTTTAAGCCTACTCTTAAAAGTAGAGAGGGTGTCTGTCTCCCACATCCAAACTATGAGGTAGTTCCACAGAAGAGGGACCTGAAAGCTTAAGGCATTACCTTCAACTCTGCTTTTAAAAAAATCTAGGAATCACAGGTAAGCCTGTAGTCTGCGATCAAAGTTGTATATCTTCTCTACGAAGAACACAAGAATAAATTAATCAAAAGATGGCAGATTCATCAGTTTATTTAAATCCAGACTGAAAAGGGAAAAGACAGCTTGCTACTTAGGCTGTCTTTAATACTGGTTAAACTTACAGAAGCATTACATCTATGAGTTGAAGATTGTTTGCCTTGAGTTTAAAGCAGAGTGCTTTGTGACACTTCTACCCAAGGGAGAGATTTCCTGGAAACACTAACAAAAGCAGCCCCCAAGACTGAAATGCTGAAACCAGAATGTAGGCTTGAGTTTGGAATGAGAATGTTGACTATGTACATAACCATAAGGAAGTGTTATGCTGTGTGGAGACAGATTGCCCTCATGGCTCCATCTGCTAGTAAACCTTCATACTGACAGTGAGAGAGGAAAAAAAAATCTAAAAAAGCAAAAGCACATTTTATTTTGTCCTTTCTTCTCTATAGCAGAGGTCCAGGCCATTGCCAGTATGATAGAAAAACAAGCTCAGATTGTGGTGAAGCAGAAGGAGGCGTCTGCGGAGTCCAAGAAAAGGAAAGAAGCCCTTCTCGCTCAATATGCTAATGTAACAGACGAAGAGGAATATCCTTGATTTATTGATTGAAAAAACAGTAAGTCTGCAGTCAGTTTGGCAATCATCCATATTTTTCACCATGCAAAGGAAATGAGGGAAACCGTTTGTCTCATCCAGTGCAGTCATAACCCTTAAGATGTCAGTTCTTTCCTTGACTAAAGCACTGAAGCTGAAGAAGAGGAGCCAACAACTGGACATATCACTGGAAATGATAAAAGTATCCTTTGTGCAGATATTTTACAAATGTATGTAACCAAGTCTAACCCAAAGAATGGATAATTGATGCATAACCATGATTTGTACATATTTTAGTTTTCTTCCACTTGTCCTTTACTCAAAGTGTCAGGCCTGTTCAAAAACACCAACGTGGAGCTAGTGATGAACAGACAAAAGCAAAAGCGGGACCAGGCTCGCGAAGAAGCCCAAAAGAAGAAGGAAATGGACAAGATGCAGCGAGAGAAGGACAAACTAGCTAAACAGGACAGAAAAGAGAAGGAGAAGAAGCGTACACAGAAGGGTGAACGCAAAAGATAAAACCAAAAGAAAGGACACTTTGTAAAAAAGATTTTTGCTATAATATGAAAAAAAAAAGTCTTTGGCTCTTTTTCAGCTGAACACCCTCCACATCAGACCCTTGTTTGTCGCTCATAATGTGTGTGTGTGAATAACAAACTATATGTTAAGAATAAAAATGTCTTTTGTTTTCAGAGTTAAACAGATGATGTTTTAAAAAAAAACAAAGCTGTATGTCAATGATGAACATGGTCAATCCCTTGTTAGTCAAATTTTCACTTAAGTCTGCCAAATATAGTTTTTCCAACAAATAGATAGTATGCTTTGAGTTGGCTAAAAGTACGTTTAACCTGAAATGATGAAATTATACTGCTGAACCTGAAATTGGACTAATCGTGGGGGGGGGAAAAAAACCCGAATAGTTTTAACTCAACAGTTGAGCCTGTTATCCTTTGCCACAACTTGCAAATGCCTTCATTTTTCAAAACATTTTATTAAAGGCATGTGCTGCTGTAAGAACTCAATGTTTTTTTTAAGAACAAAGCAGTTGTAAATGACCTCAAATATATTCTGTATCATCATTTTGAATGTTTACGGTTCATCTTTTAAAAAAAAAAAAACACTTTTCAACAATGAAATTGCTTTATTTTTGCTTTTTTTCAGTTCAAACAACAAGAAAAAATTCAACCGAAACATTAAAATAGCAGGAATAAAACAATACTGCTCATTCACAAAGCACACGAGGGAAGAAATGACACAATGAGTATTTCCTGAGAATTCTTTGTAATGCCTTAATGTTTTGGTCCCTTGCTGACAAACTCAATTCACTGATAACGTTTTTTTAATTGATTAATGCATTCAATTTTTTAGATGCTACACTTTAAAGCGTGACCATATTTTCACTTAAGACTACATTTCACATAACACAGAATTATGATTACAGTTAATAACAAATAATTAAAGTGTTAAATACTAAATTGAACATTTATCCAAAACTATTGACACTGATATGCAGCAAGTCTTTGAACATTTCAGTGTTTTCAGAGTTTAACATCCCACTGATATGTCTGTTAATACCTTGTTTCTAGCTGGAAGTGTGATTAAAACTTAAAATCTATATTTTTTTATTAGAAATTTACATTAGTGGCACCAAATTGCAGATAAAAACTTTTCATTGTAGAATTTTAAAGTTAAATATGAGAAACTGAAGCTGTTGAAATCAGTTGGAATATTTCAGAAAGCATTTTAATAATTAGCATGTTCATTTTAAGCTACTGCCCTTGAGAATCAATTATTGCTTGGGAATACCCAGAACTGAGGTTCCATTACATTCCAATAAATAAGTAAAACAATGAAGATTCACTGAAATCTTCTACATAAATAGTGCCTTTAAATACAACAGTGATGGTGCAAGATTTGTGTTGATTGCGTCTGACACTAATTGAATGAAATTAAGTTAAGATGCAGCAGGATAAAATATTTCATGCAATTCCTACACAACGAAAGAAGCTCTCTGAAACCAAATAATGAAGTCATCGCACTTTTAAATTGCTCATCTCATACTCTGCAGTGATCTTTGTGTTGCAGATAAAATGTGGCTTTGACTTTCAGTTAGGTAATACTACAAGAACCTTTGTTTCATTGACCCTGCTAGTTAAAGAACACTTAAAAGCAGGGCAATGTGGAGTGACTTTAATTTTATCTTCAACTCATACTTGTCGTTTGCTAAATTATAACCTAAAAGAGTATCTTTCAAATGAAGAAGGGCACATCTCCTTGTTTGCGTCCTCCTTGATAATATGATGATCCTGGATGATGATGGGTTTTGGCAGTGTGATCTGGAGGGCACACCACAGAGCTGTGCAGAGCTTCCTAGTGGTAGCAGCTAGATCCTTCAGAGCCATGACCACCAACAAGGTGTCTGTGAAAAAGAACACATTAGGACATGCAACATGGAACATGCATACAACATTGTCTACCAATACGTGGATTACCTCGGTCCTTTGTGAAATTAGGTCTCTGCCACTGGTGCTTGGTCATGTTCACAGCCTCCTCCTTACATCTTGCCTGTGTGACACAAATGGCCATATGATTCTTTTTCAGGGCTGTGTGGATGTTTGCTGGAAGGGGAACACCACATAGACACTCCATTTTCTCCAGAAGACCTGCCACCTGTAACACATCACAAAAAGATCAATTAAAAAAATATATAATAAAAGACCAATCCCAAGGAATGATGACATATCATGCATGAAAATAATACAAAATGTAAAAAAAAAAATTAATATTGAAGTTGACTAGGTTTACAGTTAAAATGTCCAAAGGTCTTAAAACATTTCATTTCTTTTAATTTTGCTCTGACTATAGGCAATAGGTGAAAATACAATATATAGATAGATATGCATGTATATGATATGTATATTTAGACATATAAAAACAGGCTGTTAGTAAAGTGTCTAAAGACACAATTTAAAATTGGTTATTTCCTAAGTTGTCTGCTCTATGTGGAAAGCCCCAGAGTTAGGGGGCTTTTTATCCTTGAATGATTCATAGATTAATGCTATAAGGCTTAACAAAAAAATATTCCTCCAAAGAAATGATCATGTTAAAGCACTGGATTGGAAAGCATGTGTAAATGACTACTTTAAAAGGCATTCATAAACCCTGGAGAAATACTGCTGAAAACCACTTTTTTTTAAAAAAAAAAATTACAAGACAGTCTGGCTGCTTGGAAGAAAAACAAAAGAAATTGGTGGCTCAAGACTTTTGTATACTACTATGAGTTAGGTCATGTTAGTGTATTTGCCACTTATGGGGTTTTTGTTTGTTTGTTTGGTCTGAGCAATTGACACACTCCACAAAAAATGACCAAGGCCACAATTTAAACCCATCTATTATAAATACAATGTAAGGAAGCAATTAAGATTAACTGTTTGCCTTACTGGGGCAGTATTTTATATGCATGTATGATTTTTAATTAGTGCCCCTGCTTAAACAAATGTAGAAACTGAGTTGCCTGTAACTGTTAACAACTGGCAACTGCTGTGATAAAATTCCCCTGTAGGTGACAGTATATAAGCATTAAATTCAGGGCTCTCACCTTTGCTTGTTCTTTTATCTGATTAACAATGAGGTGGTCAACTCTTGTGGGATTTGGTGGAGTTTTGGGCAGGTTACTGTTGGTCACTGCTGGACTTCTTTTCTCAAGAAATGTTTTTGTAAGGATGACTTCTGTCTAAAATAGAAAATATACAAGAATATGACAACCTTAAAAATTTTTAAAGGGTAGAATTTTTTTTTATAAATACCAACAAAATATTTTTGTACATCATAAGCTGCAAACAGATTTATCTCAAGCTGATGCTAAATATTAGCAATAGAGAGATGTCTGGACCCAAGCTGACCAAAAATACATTTACTGGTATAATTCAGTTGTATTGCACACACAAAAGCTGTATTTGTATCATGTTTCATCAGCTGAGCAAATGACCTCATTAACTCAATTTCTATAAAATAAACTTTTTTATAACTTTAGATTGAAGAGGGATTCTACTCTTAATAATCTCTAACACAAAATCAGGACTTGATGGCATACCCTTTTTCTCTCCTTCTCCAAACACCTCCACTGCTCATAACACTCATCCAGGTAGAAGTAAAGCTGAATCACTGGTCCTCCATGATTCCTTAACACTGAAGTTGTCATTGCTGAGGCCATTCCATGATAAGTACTGTCCCTTCTGTGGGTCCTCATCTCGCTGAGGTAGGAGTTGAAAGCTGCAGATTCATTAAGTGGAATCACATCATCTGCTTCCATGCCAGGAACACTACTTGAATAAGGCTGTGTAGATCTAGAGCTGAAGTTGGATTTGACAGGGATCCCCGAGTACCTCCTGGGGTCATTTACAGGATACATTAAGGGCATGAACTGCTGTACATTCCCTGCATTGACCATGCCGTTTTCACCATCAAATCTTTTATACTGCACAGTCTCCTGGAAGTCAAAGTATGGGTTTTGTGAAAGGAGCTGTGCTTCCCCCTCTCTCATGAAAGTGTTGAACTGGGGCCTCCTAGCAAAGCCCTCTCTTAGAAATACATTTGCTTGCATTTTGTTTTTTTCTTTCTGAACCTGGGATTTTGTCTTATTCTGCAGCTGATGTTTTGAATACTGGTTTGTACTTAGATTTATGTTCTCTCTATGCACCATCTTTTTGGGGTATTGATTTGGGGGATTTAAAAGTGCAGGGAATTGCTTTGGCTGTTGGACATACTCTGTGCTTTGAGGGTAGAAATTGGGTAGATCTTGAAAGCCATCCTTTTTGAATGTTTGTTTCTTCACTCTGTTTCTTTCTCTTTGCACTGTCCCCAATTCCCCCATCAGCTGTTTTGGAATCTGATTTCCAGGAGAATTCTGTCTTGACATTGTAGGACTGGTTATTTTCCAATGTTCAGCCACGTTGTCTTCATGGTCCATGCCCACTATCTGCTTATGCATGTTTCCCAGGTCTCCACAATACACGCCATCATTCCCATGTGTCATTAATGACTGAAAACTGCTGACCAGATGGTTAATGTGTTCTGGTACATACTGCCCATTACCATTTGGCTTTATGCTGTCCTGGATGTAGTTATCTTCATAGAAAGATTCAAAACAAGGTGTGTTGTTTTCACTTTGAGGTCTAAAAATGTCACTGATGTCAGGAAAATTATTAAAAGCCTGACCATTGACTCCTTTATTATAAGATGACATGTTGACATGTTTGTTCTGTTGCATCTGTGATGTATAGCTGCTTCCAGCATTTGGTACTGGTAGACCTGGTGGCAGCTTTTGGGGATGGGGTAGGTAGCTCTCTCCATTAAAAAGCCACTGTCGATTAGAAACAAGGCCATTTGACTGTTGCATTAGCTCACCAACATCTTTGTCTCCTGACCGATGCTGTGCTTTACTGAAACTTTCCTGAGATACATAGTTTGGAGTAAAGGAAGGGTTATGCTGCATTTTAGCCTCAGATTCTAAATACTGTAGCAGTTCTTCACTCAATGTCTTTGGAGACCAGATGGGATTGCATGTAGGTAGGGTCCTAAAAGAGGAATTGAGGAATTCCTTTAGTGACAGTAATCACAAACTATTTTAAGCAGGTAAAACTTTCACATATCTTATTCTGTTGATTATTAAATTTTACAATGCACACTATAGCATGAAGTAAACTACTACATGCATCACAATAATGACATACCCTTCACTGTAGAAGTTATCCTTTGAATCTGCATCATCCAAAATATTTGACACTAGACCCTGTAGATCACTCTCACCACCATAATCAGCATTTTCAGGGGGTTTCCTTAAAATAACAGAAAATAAATTCTTAGGAAATAACAAATAGCCGTTTTGATTGAACAAGCATTGCTGTATAGCAATGAAACTGCTTACAACTTCATTTAGGTGAATACCTGCTTTTAATGCTGGGCTGGGCACATCTAATGAGTTCATAAGGATCATCCTGAGTAGAATAAGACCAGGGCATATAGGATGCAGTGTCCTGTTCCTGCTGTGACACACCGGGGATGGAAATGAAGGGTATTGCTACTGTACTGCCATTTCCACCTCCCGCATTAACACCCACCTGAAATAAAGAGAATCCAATCTCATATAAGGCAAACTAATGCAAATTACAACACTTAAGATAAAACTTTCACAGACAATTTTAACTCTGTAAAAATACGGAATTGAAATCATTTCAAATAATTACATTTGAAATTACAATGTTAATTTATTTGCCAGTTTTTGAACTAAAATATATTGGCAAAAGCCTAGCAACTTTTTCAGTGGGTGTTGGAGTGAGAGGGTCGCCTCTCGATTCCAATCCTGTTCTTGAGTTTCATCAACAGGATCTCA